AATAGGAGAGGAGAAGGAAGGAAGAGAGAAGGAGGGGGCAAGGGGAAGGAAAGAAGGAAGGAAGGGAAAGAGGGAGGAGAGGAGGAAGGGAAAAAGGAAGGAAGGAGAAGGAGGGAGGAGATGAGAAAGAAGGAAAATAGGAGAGGAGAAGGAAGGAAGAGAGAAGAAGTAGAGGGACAAGGGGAAAGAAAGAAGGAAAAGAGGGAAAGGAGAAGAGAGGAGGAAGGGAAAAAAGGAAGGAGAAGGAGGGAGGAGATGAGAAAGAAGGAAAATAGGAGGAGAAGGAAGGAAGGGAGAAGAAGTAGAGGGACAAGGGGAAGGAAAGAAGGAAGGAAGGAAGGGAAAGAGGGAATGGAGAGGAGGAAGGGAAAAAGGAAGGAAGGAGGGAGGAGATGAGAAAGAAGGAAAATAGGAGAGGAGAAGGAAGGAAGGGAGAAGAAGTAGAGGGACAAGGGGAAAGAAAGAAGGAAGGAAGGGAAAGAGGGAGGAGAGGAGGAAGGGAAAAAGGAAGGAAGGAGAAGGAGGGAGGAGATGAGAAAGAAGGAAAATAGGAGAGGAGAAGGAAGGAAGAGAGAAGGAGGAGGAGGGGCAAGGGGAAGGAAAGAAGGAAGGAAGGGAGAGAGGGAGAGGAGAGGAGGAAGGGAAAAAGGAAGGAAGGAGAAGGAGGGAGGAGATGAGAAAGAAGGAAAAAGGGAGGAGAGAAAGAAGGAAGAGAGGAGGAGGAGGGGGGAGGAGGGAAGGAAGGGAAGGAGGGAAAGAAGATGCTGGCTAGGGAATTCTGGGAGTTGAAGTCTACAGGTCTTCAAGTGGCCAAGGTTGGACTCCCCTGCTATAACCCATGTAGACGTAAACACCGAAAAGAGATACTCAGTTTTGCTCAGCAACCTGCCTCTAGATTTAGGGATGTAGTTTAAAAATATCTCATTTGCATCCATGAATGCATAAACAGAGGGCAGGTGCTGAAAAGGAAGAGATGAACCTCACAGGCTGTTTTATCTAAAGTGGTGTTTTTCAAGTATGGCAACTTTAACCTGGATAAACTTCCACTCCCAGAATTCCCCAGCCAGCCATGCTTTAAGAGGGGTGGACTTCCAGTGCCAGAATCCTCCAACCTGCAGGCTTTAAGATGGGTGGACTTCCACTCCCAGAATTCCCCAGCCATCCTGCTTTAAGAGGGATGGATTTTAACTCCCAGAATTCCCCAGCCATCCTGCTTTAAGAGGGTGGACTTCCACTCCCAGAATCCCCCAACCAGCCATGCTTTAAGAGGGGTGGACTTCCACTCCCAAAATTCCCCAGCCAATATCTTTTAATATGAGTGGACTTCCACTCCCAGAATTCCCCAGCCAGCCTGCTTTAAGAGGGGTGGACTTCAACCCGCAGAATTCCCCAGCCAGCATGCTTTAAGAGGGGTGGAATTTCCCTCCCAGAATTCCCCAGCCAGCCTGCTTTAAGAGGGGTGGACTTCCACTCCCAAAATTCCCCAGCCAATATCTTTTAATATGAGTGGACTTCCACTCCCAGAATTCCCCAGCCAGCCTGCTTTAATATGAGTGGACTTCAACCCGCAGAATTCCCCAGCCTTCATGCTTTAAGAGGGGTGGACTTCAACCCCCAGAATTCCCCAGCCAGCCGGCTTTGGTGTAAGTCTGCCGGTTGTGGAATTCTGAGAGTTGAAGCCCAGCTGCCTTAAAGTGCCCAAGTCTAAAAAAACTCTAAAGCACCTCTTAAAAAAACAAAACAGGAACAGGTTCAAAAATGCTAACCGGATCGCTCGCCTACCTCCGAAGTCCTTCATTTTGCAAGCCAAATACACTTACCGCCGGCTGCGAGAGACACAAAGGACCAAAACAGCAGCCAGAAAAGGCCGCGTCTGTTCCCCATCCTGCCGAAACAGCCAACAGCTGCAAAACAGAACAACACAAAAGGGGAAATTCTCAAGTTTTTCTGAGAAAAAAACAAAAGGGGAAAAAAAAAACACCCCCACCAGCCTCCAAAGGCCAAACGCGCTCGTGTAAAATGCAATTATCGCAAAAGCAAATCGTTGCCTCTTCGCGGACAATCACATGATCAACGTATGGGCTCCTGGTTGCCAGTGCGGTTTTTGCAGTGAATAAAAAATTGCACTCGTGACGTGTCCCAAATCAGCGGCGGGGGGAAAAAGTTTTCAACTCCCCGATGACGGTCCTTATCTCATGCCAATCGATCCCGAGAAAGAGGATTCCCCGAGGACCAAGGCTGTCCACCAAGCGGCTCAAAACTAGAGATCAAAAGGATGGAAGGATGGTTTGGCCCATCAGTTTACTCAACGGTGTAGTAAGGCGAAGTGCTCCTCCACACAAAGGCTTCTGCGTCAGACAAATACGTTTTGCGAACAATCATTATCTGTGGCTCGTTCCGTCTCGCCTCTCCCTGTGTCCCTGCCCCACCCCGCTGCCGTTTTGTACATACACAACAAGGCATTATATCTGAGGCCAAAATTTGCACGGCGAAGCAAGGTGGTGGTTCAGCCACACCCGAATTTGTGACCTTTTTGGTCAAGAGTTGTTAAGTTAAATCACAGCAGTTAAGGGAGTCACTTTGTTGGAAACTAGCTGGGAAGGTCGTAAATGGCAGATTGGGCAAGACCTGGGGGCAACGGAGAAGATCTAAGAGGGACGGTTCAGAAGAGACTGAGTTAGATGAGGGAATAGAAGAGGAACTCATCAAATGTGCAGATGACACTAATCTGGCAGGAGTAGCCAACACCCCAGAAGACAAGCTCAGGGTCCAAAAAGTTCTCGACAGGCTGGAATAATGGGCCCTGTCCAACAAAATGAGTTTTAATGTGGAGAAAAGCCAAGTTTTATATTTAGGCAGGGAAAAACCAAAGGTACAAGTACAGATTGGGTGAGACCTGGCTCAAAAACAGCCACTGTGAGAGGGACCTTGGAGTCCTAGTGGACGATCACTTGTATGTGATAGATGTATCATCTATCTATTTACCTATCATCTATGTCTATCAAATATCTATCTACCTACCTACCTACCTACCTACCTACCTACCTACCTACCTACCTACCTACCTATCTATCTATCTATCTATCTATCTATCCAACAAAATGAGTTTCCATGTGGAGAAAAGCAAAGTTTTACATTTAAGCAGGAAAAATCAAAGGCATAAGTACAGATTGGGCGAGGCCTGGCTCAAAAACAGCCACTGTGAGAGGGACCTTGGAGTCCTAGTGGACGATCATTTAACCATGAGCCAGTCGTGTGCAGCAGCAACCAAAAAAGCTAATACAATCCTGGGTTGTATAAACAGAGGCATAGAATCAAGATCATATGAAGTATTAGTACCGCTTTAGAAAACCCTAGTGAGGCCACACCTGGAATACTGCAGCCAATTTTGGTCACCGTATCACAAAAAAGATGTTGAGAGTGTGGAGAAAAATCAGAGAAGAGCAACTAAGATGATCCAAGCCCTGGAGACTAAAACATAAAAAGAACGGCTGTGGGACTTGGGTCTGGCTAGTCTAAAGAAAAGAAGAAATAGGGGAGACAGGACAGCAGTGTTCCAGTATCTGAGGGGCTGCCACAAAGAAGAGGGAGTCATGTTATTCTCCAAAGCACCAGAGGGCAGGACGAGAAACAATGGTTGGAAACTGATCAAGGAGAGAAGCAACCTGGAATTAAGGAGAAACTTCCTAACAGTGAGGACAATTAACCAGTGGAACAGCTTGCCACCAGAAATCATGGGCACTCGATCACTGGAGGTTTTTAAGAAGAGGCTAGACAATAACTTGTCTGAAACGGTGTAGGATCTCTTGCTTGAGACTAGAAGATCTCCAAAGTTCTATTCTATTCTATTCTATTCTATTCTATTCTATTCTATTCTACTCTATCCCAAATTCTACTCTATCCCAAATTCTACTCTATCCCAAATTCTATTCTATTCTATTCTATTCTATTCTATTCATGTGATCCCAGGATACTGCAACTGTCATAAGTACATCGCAGCTGGATTTTGACCATGTGATTGTGGGGATGCTGTGACAGTTATAAGTATGAGGACTGATCATAAATCACTTTTTTCAGTGCTGTTGTAACTCCCAACGGTCCCAAAACGAATGGTTATAAATTGAGGACTATCTGTATTCCACCAATCGGATACACTCTTATGATTCGCAAATGCAAAAGGGCCACAATTTGCCCTTTTGATGGCAGGAAACAATCTGCTCTTCTAGAAACGTTTCCTTGTGTGAAATTGTTTGCAAATGCAGCATAACAGAAATCTGATAATGTAAGAGTCAACTGTCATTTTTATCTCCACAATAGGACGCTTTATCCATAAACCTCTACGGCTAATGTCATTTTTTTTTTAAAAAAAAAATTAGATCACAATCCTACGTGCCGTGTACAATTTTGAGTTTTAATGCATTGAAAAGGTCTGGGGGTCTCCTGCTTGAGCAAGGGGTTGGACTAGAAGACCTCCAAGATCCCTTCCACAGCTCTGTTATTCTGTAAAAAAAGGCCTCTGACTACAAGATAGAATTAAAGTGTTGATATCTTGTAGGAAATATGACAAATGCAATCTTGTACCAAAAGAAGGCAAATGTGATCAACCAAGTGTGAACACTAGACTGACACGTTGTAAAGGAAAAAAAAACTTCCTGTATGAATATCTGAGCTAACATTTACCCTCGCCCACTTGATTTGGATCTACTTTTGCAACAATAAACAGCTAAAATAATTGCCTTCCTCATTTCACCCTGATTTATTTACCATTCAGGCTGGGAAAACAGAATTCAGCTGACTACCAGCCAACAGCTGTTTAAATGATTTATTTTCTTATAGATAAGAGCTAAAGAAAGCAAAATAAAATATTTTTCTCTTCATCAGTACATTAAATCTCATCTTCTGAATTCTCACTTTATGTCTCAGCTCAGTATAAAGCTTCTGCATCAGCAATAATGGTCTTTTTAAAAAGGTATACATTTAGATATCATTTAAACCAGGGGTCTTCCAACTTGGCCCTTTTATGACTGGTGGACTTCAACTCCCAGAATTGCTCAGCCAGGCACGCTGGCTGAGGAATTCTGGGAGTTGAAGTCCACAAGTCATAAAAGGGCCAAGTTTGAAGAGCGCTGATTTAAACATAAACAACTACCATAAGAGTCAACTCTAGATGAGACGAGCTAATATATGCTAAGTTTAATAAATAACTAAATAAAACATAGATGATTTGGGGATTGTACCACTATATACAGGTAGTCCTCAACTTACAACGGTGCATTTAGTGACCGTTCAAAGTTACGACATTGAAAAAAGTGACTTATGACCATTTGTCACACGACCGTTGCAGCATCCCCGTGGTCACGTGATCAAAATTCGGACACGTGGCAACTGACTCGTATTTACGACGGTTGCAGTGTCCCAGAGTCACGTGATCCCCTTTTGCGACCTTCTGACCAGCAAAGTCCATGGGGGAGCCAGATTCACTTAACGACCGTGTTCCTAACTTAACAACTGCAGTGTTTCAGTTAACAGCGATGGCAAGAAAGGTCGTCAAACGGGGCAAAACTCACAGTAACAACTGTCTCGCTTAGCAACAGAAATGTTGGGCTCAATTACGGTCATAAGCCGAGGACTACCTGTATGTCATTACACGTAGGTAATCTATGCCAGGGCTTTTCAACCAGTGGTAGGGGGACCACCTGTGGTCCATTGGCACCTGGCAAGTGGTACGCGACGATCCTAGAAAAGTGGTAGCGGGGGAGGGGAATGAGCTGAACCGGTGGCAGCACCGCACAAGCCTGAGCGAGAGACGGCTGGAGCTGCAGGGCTGTCAGGGCTCAGCGGAAGCGCCAGGATCAGTGCCACTTTCCAGCTGGAGCTCAGCCCTGATCCTGGCGCTTCTGCTGAGCCCAGAAGAAGCGCCGATCAGCTGGACTGTTGCAACATCTCCAGGGTCTTGTGATTTACATTCAGATGCTTGGCAACTGATTCATATTTATGATGGTCACAGTGTCCCAGGGTCATGTGAAGTGACCAAAACCTGCTGCAACCACCCAGCAGACGGGGGGAATAAAAACCAAACACCCCCCACCCCACCCCTGCTGCCAATCCTCAACAGAAATGCTCACAACAATGAAAACCTCGGACGGGAGGAAGAGCATCGCCGGGTGGGCAGGCAGGTGTCTTGCTCGGCTGTGGCTTGGGGGGCACTTTTTTCAGTGCCATTGTAACTTTGAACAGTCACTAAGAGAACTGTTGTAAGTCGAGAACTACCTGTACTTTATCACTTTTTTCCTTTTTGGGGGGGGGTCATCAAGTTTTTGACACCTTGATAGGCGACTGGTGGTACTTGGATGTTGCCATATCCTAAAAGTGGTACAATGGGTGAAAAGATTGAAAAGCCCTGATCTATGCCTTGCCCCCCCCCCCCCATTTTTTCCTTACTGTTTGTTTGTTACAAACAATGGGAACTGTAGTCAAGGGCATATGGGAAATGTGGGCTCCATTTCCCCCCTCCAAACACCCCCAGGATTCTCGGTGTCCGAGAGGCCATGAACTCTGTCCATGCTCAGAAGCTCTATCACTCAAGAGGGGCAGACATTCTGGGAGGGAGGGAAATCTTGAGGTTTGGGGAGGGGCTTCCTAACCAGAAGGGGCATAAATTTCTACGACTAATGGGGGAGGGTCGTCATTTCTCGCCCCTATCCTCCTTGGGGTTCTGGACTACAACTCCCATCGTGTAGGAGGGCGCCCAGTTGGAGAAGGGTAACGCTAGACAGATCTGGGGGGGGCTCTCTCCCCGAAACCACAACCCCCGTCATGCAATGCGGTAGCTAACCGTCGAAGCTCACGATGAGACTTCGCGGGGCACGCTGGGAGCGGTAGTCCTCCTCACTCCCTTTCCCACAGATCGCTCCGTCCCTCAGATTGGTCCCCGGGGCTTCGGCTCCGTCCCCCGCCGCCTCCCGAGGGGGCGTCCACTTACCCGGAGAAGCAGCGCCGCTGCTCCATCCCGCGAACATGACTCCCCGCCCCGTCCCTATCGTCCCGTTCTTGCCGTTGCTCACGAGATCGGCTCTATATAGTGACAGGACGGGCATTCCCCCCCTTTTCCCTTTCGCTTGCCGTAGCGGCCATCTTGGTTGGGTAAAAGGGTGGCCGTTTCCGTGGCAACGAGTCCCTCTTGCGCATGCGTGAAGGATCCAGGGCTTCCGGGGTGGGAGGTGATTAAGAGGATGAGAGGGCCAGGACGCGCCCAACATGGCGACCGCGGGTCTTAGTCCGCCATATTGGATGTGGCGAAGCCATTCACACAGCACAAAACACGGCGTGACCTCTTCAACATGGCTGCCGCGC